CGCCTCCTCCTTCTCCTTTTCTTCACCTCCTCCTCCTCCTCCTCCTTTTCAATGTCATTCATTTGCTCTTTCTCCTCAATGTGATTCTCCACCTCCTCACTTTCCTTTCCTTCCACCTCCTCCACTTCTTCCACCTTGCAGTTTTTTCTTGGCCGCCTCCTCCTTCTCTTTTTCTTCACCTCCTCCTCCTCCTCCTCCTTTCCAATGTATTTTATTTTCTCCTCATTGTTCTCTTCCTCAGCTTTCATCTTGTCCTCCTCCTCCTTTATTTGCTCAAACAGATACTTTGCTGCAGATAGCCTTCTGGCGATAATTTTCCTTCTCCAGAGCTCCTTCTCTGACAGTCGGGTGCTGGTATCTTTTCTTTTCTTTTTCTCCACCACCCCCTTCTCCTCTTTCATCACCTCCTCCTCCTCTTTCATCACCTCCTCCTCCTCCTCCTTCTCCACCACCTCTTCCTTCTGCATTATCTCTTTCTCTTCCTCCTTTTTCTCCACCACCTTCTCCTCCTCCATTTTCCTTCTCCAGAACTCCTCCTCTGACAGTCGGGTGCTGGTATCTTTCTTTCTTTTCTTTTTCCCCACCACCACCTTCTCCTCTTTCATCACCTCCTCCTCCTTCTCCACCACCTCTTCCTTCTGCGTTATCTCTTTCTCTTCTTCCTTTTTCTCCACCACCTTCTTCTCTTTCATCACCTCCTCCTCCTTCTCCACCTCTTCCTTCTGCATTATCTCTTTCTCTTCTTCCTTTTTCTCCACCACCTTCTCCTCCTCTGTTAGTTGGGTGCTGGTATCTTTCTTTATTTGTTTATTTTTCTCCACCATCACCACTTCCACCACCATCACCACCACCTTCTTCTTTTTCATCTCCTGCTCCTTCTTCTCCACCACAATCTCATTCTGCATTATCTCCTTCCCTTCTTCCTCTTCCACAATCATCTTTTCATAGATCTCATGTTCAGAATCTGTTAAGACAAATGATTGCAGTTTGCACATAGTACAAAGTCATTTTCAAGGAGACGTTAAACTCCAGATAAAGGGGAGTAAAAATACAGTTTATTAATGACATTATACACTAGAAAATATTGAGATGCAAAAACCATCATTTACCATCAGATGAGGAAAGTGTGAACGGCTCATTACGAGGACAGAAGCAGAACCATCGAAGAGCAGCTCTGATGAAAGAAGCAACCTTGCTCTTCTTTCTCTTCTTTCTCTTTTCTTTTACTTTCTCCTTCTCATCTGTTAAAAGAGAAATGATTGCACATCTTTACACACTTGTCCACAGTAATTTGAGAGAAATTTAAAATGAACATTCACCAAAAACAAAAACCCCAATATATAACCATTTACCATGGATTTGCTACACTTTTGTGTTTTATTATTAATTATTGTATTTGATTATAATATTTTATTATTTTCATGTTATATAAAACTGCTTACACAAATGATCAATGCACCAAACGATTTAAAAACTACATGTTTAGTGCACTTTTTTAAAATAGAAAGCTGAATACTGGGTTATATTGCACAGCTAGAGTTTTTCAGCCAACAGTAAATTTCCGATGAAAGGTTTCAGTGATTATTTAACATTTTATAAGGTTGCTTTTACACCATAAACATCGTGATGTAATTAAATTACAATCAGTTAAATTAACCCAAGCATTCGTTTAGTTGTTCAAGCATAAAACGAGACAATAGTCTATTGTATGGAACCGCTAGCACCGTCAGTACCAGCAGACTAGCGCAGAAACTCCATTTAAAATACTGAGCTAAAATAAATTTTCATGTTTATTTTAAATGTCATTTAATGCAGTGATTCTTGTCCGGTCTGAGACCCACTTTATATCAAATATATATTAGTCAGTGAAGATCACATATTTTTAAAGAGAACAGATCTTAAATGTGGTGATTTTGTAATGGAAAGACAGTTCACCGAAAGCCATCGGGGCTGTCGGTTGAAAATGAAAAGTCTGTGTGCATATCTCATTTTACTAAAGGATTTTAGACTAAAGTTGTATCAGAAAAGCTGAAAATGAAATACATTATCATTTTACCCAAAATGTTGCATTAAGATTCACGTGAATGCAATGATAGCCAGCAGTTTAACCAGCTGTCTATTATCCTGTACAAACATTATTTTTAATAGTAAGTATATTATTATGTCAGGAAAACACAGGATATTGGATAGCACAATGTAAGTAAGACTCACTATTAGTGCCATTTCTTGGCCTTTCTTTGAGCTGCTTCACTTTTTTCTGGCTCTTGGAGATCTTGCAGGCTTTGGGAACTTCGTCTTCCTCCATTTTAGCAGCTGATGTTGTGGGGAGATCAGAAATCTGTTCAACCATCATATAATCGGTACAGGGTTTCAGTCTTTCACCTGTAACCACTCAAAAACTTGGGGTTTGCTAGCTGGAATAGGATGAGGATTTCGGTCTTGCACCGTGAATCACTCAAACGGAAGATGTTCAATCGCTGAGACAGTCTCAAAACACTCGGAACGCAAGTTTTTTAACACTTAACAGCCAAAAGCACACCTGTACTACTCCACTTCAACAAACCCACAAGATATTCTCCGATGATGCAGGGCTTCAAGTACACTTTTGGAATGCGTTCTATTTTCAGAACATGTCACTATGGTAACAAGACATAAGACTAAGAAATGTTTTCTTTTAAACTCAAATGACTGCAAATGTGCAAATGACATAAAATAAATGGAAAAAATAGCTAAATAAATTGATCTAAGGGACAAAAGCTGTCTTAAATAGATAATCAGTTTGAAAATGAAGTAACTGTAGACAAAGAAGCACAACAAATGAAACCTGTGAGGTGAAACTCAAACCACAAAACTGACATATATTGACTGAAATAATATCTAATAAATTATGCTAAAGTATTCCGCTTCAATGTGATCCATCCACCAAGACATGCTGCAAATATACATGCCATTCCATAAGAAATAAATAATATAGTCATTAGTGTAGGAGTGCAACATCAACTCGCAGGAAAACAAAAATCAAGACTAAATGTAAATAATTACCTTTGAACAGGAAATATAGTTTAACAAATGAAAATCAAGAAAATAATTCAGATTCAGGCCGTAAGAGGCAGAACAAATATGTGCAAAGCACAGGCAACATATATTCAAAATGTGAATCAAAAATAGTTGAGTTGGTAACACTGAGTGATCAAAACAGAAGCGCATTAGAATAAGAGTTATACTCAATCAATTTGGACCAAATGCTAACAATATATATTTTTGCATTTTTTTGTGTAGTTTTCTTCATAATAAATATACTTTAAACAATGTTAAACTTGTAATTAAAAAAGAGGCATGTTGAAAAAAATCTACACAACTATTCAATTCAATTCAGCTTTATTTGTATAGCGCTTTTACAATGTAGATTGTGTCAAAGCAGCTTCACATAAATGGTCATAGTAACTGGATCAGATGCAAACTAGAGTTTTCTTGTTTTGACTCATTAAAATATGTGGTAAAGAAATAACTACATGTGTTCCTTTTTCAATTTCATTGCTCCAACCGGGCCATTAACCAAAAACCATTAGTGTTTAGACATGTATGATCTAAAATTTCATTCATAATGGTCTTAAAATGATCTTAAAAAGTCTTAAATTTGACTTGATGAAACCTGCAGAAACGCTGAAATAATGAGGGCTTTTGTTATGGTGCAGACAGAGAAAGGTAACTTTTTACTACAATAAAATCACATTAAATACATTTCCTTATTGAAATCATTATTTATTTTAAATGAATTCAAATCAAAAGAGCTAGTCAAAGCTGTTAAGTATTGCCAAAGTATTGCAGAATACATAAACAATGAGTACAATCTTAAAGTGATTTTGTAATACATATATAGAATATATACCTACACACACTTAGTTTTAATAAGTACGCAAATAAGAAAACTGATATGATTATTAAAAGATAATGGGAAAAAACTATTAAGAATAATAAATAAAAATACAATACACAATGGTTTATTTATTCAGATGGTTTGTAGTAATACCACCCATATATATGTGTTTGTGTTTGTGTGTGTGTGTGTGTGTGTGTGTGTGTGTGTGTGTGTGTGTGCGTGGGTGCGTGCGTTCGTGCGTGCGTGCGTGCGTGCGTGCGTGCGTGCGTGCGTGCGTGCGTGTATGTATGTGTGTGTGTGTGTGTGTGTGTTTAATAAATTAAACTTTAAACAAACATGAGATGGAAATAATGAAAAAAGCAAAATGATAATTAGAGGGAAAAAACATAAATCCAAAACTATTTAGTCACATAATACACTATATATTCACTGGCCACTTTATTAGGTACACCTTAATAGTTTCATATTTCCTTTTGCCTTCCGAACTGCCTTAATTCTTCGCGGCACAGATTCAACAAGGTACTGGAAATATTCCTTAGAGATTTTGGTCCATATTAACATGATAGAATCACTAAGTTGCTGCAGATTTGTCAGCTGCACATTCATGATGTGAATCTCCCTTTCCATCATATCCCAAAGGTCCACTATTGGAGGCCATTTGAGTACAGTGACCTCATTGTCATGTTCAGGAAACCAGTCTGAGGCATTGATATAATGCTCAATTGGTACTAGTTGGCTCAAATTGGCACAATAGAATAAAAACAGTTATACTAGGAATTAGTATTTAGATCCTTTTTTTCTATGTGAATATATTTGAAAATCGATTAGATTCCTGTGATTTAGTTGTTCAGAATTTTGTTTTTGTTTGTTTGAAAATACTTCTCAAGCACACATTATATGATTTGCCATTTTAAAGACGTTTCTAATGTTACAAAAGATTTTATTTTAAATGAATGCTGCTGAAATCGATGTTTGTGTACAGTGTTAAAAGTAAAATGTATGAACTGCATAAAATTTTAGATTTGATCATATATTAACAAAAGAAATCTTATCTAATGTATGTATTAATTGGTTTTTAAAGGTTCAAGACACCCTGGAGCACTTTAAAAAAATGAACAGATTTGTGTGTGTTGAACATCAGTTAAGACAACGTTAGCACCTGTCAGCTTTAATTGTGGATAAATCTGGATCATTTTGAGCTTTTGTCAAACTGACAAAAACAACTGTCAAACTGACAAAAACAACTGTCACCGAACTGACAGTTCGGTGAACTGTCCACGACCCCTATGGCACGTCTTCAGACCTCCGCCGACTCTCGAGTGCAGACGCTGTAGAGTCAAGTGCCATAAAGACCACATCGATCGCAAAGAAGAGGTCCTCGCTCCATGTAGAGGTCAGGAGATCACACTCAGAAAGACACAACAAACTCATTTTACTGTACTGTAGCTGATTAAACTTAGATTGTTAAAATATTTGTCTGGAGGCAAGGAAAAATATAATTTCATGAATAAATATGTTAATAATAAACAAATAAATATAAATGTAAGAAATATTTATTTTTATATATAAATAAAAGTTCATATAAACTAATTATAGACCTAAAGTTAATATTTTTATCCATTTCTCAGTGAATATGGGTAATATATATATATATTGGTGCATTTAAACAAAACATTTATTAGAAAGATATATTTAATAAAATAATATTTTAGTCACAGAACATCTTTAGAAATGAAAAGATAATTTTAAATTCATGCAAAATACTGCAAAAAAAATCTACAACATTTTATGACAATTACAAGCTACGACATTTCAACAGAATTGCATATATTTTTTGTTTGTCTTGATGTTGCTATTTTTGAAAATTAGTATTTTATATTTTTCCCTAAAATAGAATAGAATTTTGTTTTATTTTGTTAGAAAAGCTCCAGATTTGGCTTTAGTGCTGATTAAACTAATGTATATGCACAAATATAATATTGTAAAGCATCCCATAGGAAAGGGGGAGGGGGGGTGTACTCGTATATGCTGAGCACTGTAAGCGTGTATTTATGGATGTTAGTCATAACTGAAATATTCTACTTTTAATCCACTGTTATTTTAAGTTTGACGTTAGCAAGGCTGCATGTATATTATCAAATTATATTTATACACATAATAATGTGAATTGCTTCTTTTTTTACAAATTGGTAGTTTGCTTTCAAATTTAAAACGTATCAGAACCGCATATAAAATAATAAATCATATATTTGTATTGATATATTTTATTACTACATGGAAAAAAAAAGTTTTCATGTTAAACAAGACTGCAAGTATTTGATCCAAAATGTATTAACATCAAAAAATTGTGGCATATTTCAGCCAATGATATTTTAAAATATTTGAATGTTTTTTTTTATTTGTGTTAATGTTAATTTACTTCTGTGATGTCAAAGCTGAATTGTCAGCATTTGTTTTTTTCAATGTTGCTCGATCCTTCATTATATATTTACATTTTATACTTCATAAATTAATATACTACTATGATGTTCATGAAATATCTTATTATCAATGCTGAAAACAGTTGTGCTGCTAAATATTCCAGTGGAAACTTTTTTTAAAAGACATTAAATAGAGCTGAATTTTACTGGATTTAGATTCTTGTAACATTTTAATGTATTTACTGTCATTTTAGATCGGTTTGATTGCTTGCTAAAAATTGCTTGTTATAAAATTGTTGATATAAACCGAAGCTTTTGAAAATGCATTTTAACACATGGAGTTTTGAACTCTGAAAAGAATCTGTTGTTTGGTTTTTGTCCTCCAGTGAATTACGACATGTCCACAGCGAAAGAGATGCTGCTGCTGGCAAACTCCACAGAGGAGCAGAAGAAGTGGGTCAGTCGGCTGCTCAAAAGGGTTCCGCGTAAGCCCTCCATCGCCCACTCGTCCAGCATAGCCATATCCGCTGCGCCCTCAGAGGCAACACCCACTACCCTTTCCCCTCAGCCGTCGCCTCGCCTCGCTCAGTCTTCACCCAGACTTTCACACCGAGCAGCCGTCAAAGTGCACTCTACACGACAGCAGCCCTCCAGCAAGAACAGGTGAGGAGGAGACGCTTTCACTCACCCTCAACTTATTCCAAACATGTGTCTCTCTTCTGTTCAACACAAAAGAATATATTTTGAAGAATGCTGTAAATTGGTAGCCATTGGCAGACACAGTAGAGAAAAACAAATACTTTGTTAGTAAATGGGTACATTCTTCAAAATACCTTCTTTTGTGTTCATTAGAAGAAAGATACTGATAGAGATTAAAAACTGATTTTGACAGAATTTACATTTTTGAAGAAACTATACCTTTAATGCCCAGATATAAAGAATGTTTTGTTCCTCGTTAGGAAGAAAAAACAAGTTTGAAATTCCAGAGTGGTGGTTTAGTGTTTATGAACATCTTGACATCATCAACACGCCTCAGTGATGTTTAGATGAATATGTAAATATGTGCTGTGCAATTTTTTCCTACAGTAACAACTAAATAAACGTAAACAAAAATGGCTGTGGTGACAAAACAGCAGTTTTCAGCAATCCAGTCATGTGGAGTCTAGGGTTGTAACGGTATGAATTTTTTACGGTATGATAATCGTCTAAAACAATACCACGGTTTGACGGTTTTGCGGTATACGGTATTAAATAGTAATTCTCATAGCAAAGACCCTGAAAAGAATAAGAACACGTTTTCTGACTGAACAAAGGTTTTATTTCAACAAACTTTTGAAAGAACCATTTTAATAGAACTATAGAAGTCTTTTATAAAAATAAACTGAAAAATCTCCCATTTTAATAAATTAAATTAGAAGGAATAAACAAGCAGGGTCTTTTAAGATTAGACAAAAATAAACTTAAACTGTCCTTCCTTATAAGCAGAATAAATGGGAGACCAAAAGTGCAATACCAAGTTTATGGCTGTAAACATGTATTTAAAGCGTTGTTTTTTTCAGTCTAGGTTGTGATGAAGAAATGTAAGCATGTTGAGATTTTCAGGACTTAATCTTGACCGCTGAGGTGAGAGAATGTGTCCACTTGTACAATGAACAAATAAAAAAATAAGAAATAATGTGTCAAAGTCCAAATAAACATGGTGCAAATCCTCAGTAAAAAATAGATATAAATATTTACTATACTATAAATAGTTACATAACGAAACTAGATTCAATATGGAACATCCTTAGGTTTTATGTGCCAGCATGGATATTGTTGTCTGTGGATATGGATTTGGATGTGGTTGTATGCAATGCAGACAAACAGCTGCACCTTCATTTGTGTCTTTTGAAAACAGCAAGACCAGCAGTTCGTCTTTGCTGTGTCACTGTTTTGTCATGTTTCTGTGCTGCTGTGCATGCAAAAGTACTTAGTATGAGAATTATTTCATGCAAAACCTTTTTTTTTTTTTGCGTTTTATTTAGCCGCGCAAAAATGTATGCCTATCTCTCATTCCGTGTTGTTGAAAAAGCTCATTGTTGGTCCAAAAACAAAAGCGAAACCTATGCTTATTGGTTGTGATATAGCGAGTTTGAACCAATCTGGGCATGGAGGAGGGACAATGCATCAATGTATCATGTCTGGTTTGTCCGGAGACACAGTGACGAGCGTTTCTTTGTCAAATCAGCGTTGTCAAATTTTGATGACGTAACCGCACTGATTCTGGAGCCTCTGAAAGTCAAAGTCGCGAATGTTATGTGATACAGCACTGGAAAGCTGAGATTCCCTTCTTTATGCCAATCTTGGAATTGTATGAATCGGATCAGCGGATCAAAAGTTATTAAACATTTAAGAGCAATACTTATTTTTAGCCGCGGGCGGCTGTCTCGGTCTTTAAGGGTTAAAACCGTTGATATGCAATTGTTCATGGTATGATAATCGTGCACGTTCAAATCGTGGTAAACCGTCATACCGGTATATTGTTACAACCCTAGTGGAGTCCCATCATGTTTATAGCAGTTTAATCAAATACACCAAGTATTAAGCTTTTTAAGTATCACACATGATCAAATCTTTCCTAATAAATTACCCTTCCACTGTAAAGCAGCTCTTAGTCTTAAAAATAAAGCTTCTATATTGGCATAGATGGTTCCATGAACAGCTTTAAATATCCATTCCATAAAGGTTTCATTACAGTGAAAAAATACATTGATAATCTTAAATATCATTGAATATCTTGAATTCTCGCTGAGAAAAAAGCGTTATTTGAATTAAAAGGTTCTTTGGGGAACCAACAATGGTTACTTTTTAGTGCAAAACTTTTTCGAACCTTTATTTTGAATGTGTTGGATTGTATTGGCCTCAATAGACTTAGCAGAACAAATGCGCTGGAGAAGATTAACCTGTTAAAAAAGGCGAAGCTCTAAAGCCACACCTACGTAAAATGGGACCAGGCAATGACCGTTTAAAGGTGTTTACCAGCGGATGCAAACTTTTGCTCAAAATGACAACATCAATTTCTGTTGATGTATACTGGGGCCTTTAGGTTATATTGAAATATAGTAGAATTGTAGGATAGAGTAACAAGACTTCATCTAAAGCAATGTTTGAAATCTTCTATTACTAACACTTGATGTTTTATTGGATAAAAAAGAGAAATAGCTTGATTTTAATTGAGGTAAACATAGTGTAGTGTCATGTATGTAGACTTGGCTGTGAAGATCCCAATAGCTTACAATGATACCGCTAACCTTTTGTAGCCCTGGCCCAATGCTCCGTATCATTCTTCACTGACCTTTCACCTTCCCTACTCGTGTAAATGTGTGGACAGTAAGTACCGTGCACTGCATCTCTTTTCTGCTCATCTTCAACATGTTTGGCTGCTTGTTCTCTTCTCTGTTTGCATCTGAATCCTCAGTACTAAAAACACTCCACTAACAATGCAGGCTCTCTCTTTTAATTCCATAATATTGCCATCTAATCCTATCTAAGCTGTGAATATTTTATTTTATTTTATACTATTTTCAACCCAGTAAACGGGTTACTCATAGTGGTCTTCATGTCTAAAATTTAACTTAAACTCTGATAACATTACCAATCTTTTTTTTATTTTGTGGCCAAAAAAAGAAAAATGTATCTTTTGTGTTTTTTCCCCAAGTTTTTTTTTCATGGCATCTCTGCCATGGTCATTTTTGTGACATTTTAATTGAAATCTTTGTAAATAAAGAGCAGTGGGTGTCTCCATCACATCATGTAGAGCTTAAAAAAATAAACAGCTGTTTTCCAAAAATGAAATGTTCCAATAATGAAAAAGCAATAATATCATCATGAGGGCTTCTCTAGCAAATATCTACTGGTGTAAAATCAAATAAAAAAGAAAGTTATCTGTAAATAAAGGATAGCATTTGTCCTCATCACGTATCTTGTGTAAGTGTAGTTTTAAATATACAGTGCTCAATATATATGCATGAGTACACCCCTCACAAATCTCTCATTTAAATTAATATTTTCTATAGGATGCTTTCCAATATTATACTTGTGCATATACATTAGTTTAGTCAGTACTGAAGCAAATCTGCAGCTTATTGGTGTACTCATTTATGCTAAGCACTGTGTGTATATATATATATATATTTTTTTTTTTCTTTTTTTATGTGAACCTGTATTTACCAGTGTACTTTTAAACTAAACTTTATAACTTTTATTTTTTAGACTTTGTCAATGGCATTTGTACATGAGTCCAAAAGACTCCTCTTTGTTGCAGATTGCTTGAAATGGGCCTGAAGGACTGGGGTTGGGCTCTTGAGGTTGAATTGGATGATGACGATGTTTTAGACTTCTGAAAACTTGAGGTTTTTGAGGGGTGACCAGCGTGTGGCTTGAGGATGCATTTATATCTGTGTGTGTTAAGCTGTGGCTTAAAGCCGGTTTTGCTTTTTTTTAAATGATATTAAAATTTCACACTGTGAGGGACTATACAACACGTTTTGAATTTGCCAGCATGTTTGATGCATTTACAGTACACGAGTGGGCATGTTTGTATGTGTGTATAAAAGGCAGAATAGTTTGGTTTAGCTGGTTTGGCTGTATAGAGAATGGGATTTGACATGTCTGCCAGCATTTTATGTATGAACGTTTTTTATGGTACTAAATGACCTCCATCTCCTCTCTCTTAATTTCAGCTAACCTTGGTGAAGGCCGGATAGGTGATCATGCATCTGGGGTCTATGAAAGCGGAAAATGTCATAGTGTTCATTTGGGCTAATGGCAGGACTTCCAAGTGCCAAACACCACAATATAAATGACTGGGGAAGGGGACGGTATATGATATTTAAATACAGCACAAGCCATAAATCACCTAAAGTATCTAGTTTCAATTTTAAGTCATTTTAAGAGTAGAGTGTTTGTGTTTTCCTATACTATACAGTTTGACAAAAAGTGTCTTCTAAGCTTTTAAAAATGTCAGAGGTTATTTTCGGACTCCTTATAGGGTTGTTAGTAAGTGTGACTGGATGTTTAAGTGTGTTTCCAAGAGCAAATGAATGATAATTACGAGATCATCAGGATTTATATAATCAAGTATTATATCTATTTTTGTTCAGAAAAACAAATATTTAGTGGCACAGATTATATTTTTGTCATCTTTTATTTTGAAGAACACCTTCAATAAGCATTACGTCTGCTCTATGTATTATTGAAGACTGATATCATGATGCAAAGATGCACATTTTATTAAATGCTGTGACAAATTTGTATGCATAGTGGAACATGAAGACCTACGGTCCAAACATTTTCTTTATTTTATTATTTTGTGAAATTGTTTATAAAAAAGCTTTATTTGATTGAACACTTCTGACTCTGTGATGATCCAAACACACCTTAAATATTTCAATAGAAATGCAAGCATGTTTAATATTCCAGAATAAAAAACTGTCCATTGCTGAGCATGTGAAATGTGAAAAGTTGAAGAGTAAGGCTGAATTAATTTAGCATAATCATATTGAGACCTGGAAGGAACGTGGTGTTGGAGGAAAAATGGGTGGGAGAAAAAAAACTGAGTGCTAGGAAAGTATATATATATATTAAGTTCATGTATAAGCGCTGACTGACGGACGTGCTCTGTATGGTAAACTGATCCCAGCTCAGCTTCTGTATACGCCATTTAAAGAGGAGCTAAACTGCCGGACATTTTGAATTTTTGGTGTGTGTTTAAACAGACAAATACACTTAATAATATGTAAACATTTCTGTCCTGCATGTTTTATTGTAAACACAACAAATTTTCTCTAAAATGAGCTCAAACAGTTACTAAAGTATTGGAATGCTTTCATTATAGATTTGTGCATTCTTACAGTGACACCACTGTTATAAATCAAAACAAAATGAGAGATTCATTTGCTCTTTACTTAATAACTATGGTAACTTTAATCAATAACAGAAAGTGTTAGTGGAACAACAGTTTTGCGAGGGAACGCACAATACCTTTGCGAGGGAAAAACTTTTCAAAAAATATTTTCCTATCACTGTCCTTTTTTTCACCCACCCATTTTTCCCCACCATCACGTCCCTTCTAGGTCTCTGTATAATCGTGATTACTTAAAAAATTAAGCTTTTTTATTGTGATGTTTTTAGAGGGGGCAATAAAAATGCAATTCTAAATCTAAAATGTAGCGTATGCTGATATTATTTTCATTTGTCATGGTTAAAAACACATCTTGTGATTTGTTGTGAATGATTTACAAGAATTGATTGATAAAAGTCCAGTGTTACACAAAACTTTGATACACATGTGGACCTGGAAAACCCTTGTTTGCATATTGACAAATGTATTCAATGTGATTTATAAAAGCAGGATCAGTTACACATGCTTAATATACAGTAAGGCTGAGTCATTAGGTGATTGAGGTTTTAACTAGAATCCTTACATTTTTACTTCTGTTGCAACTTGCTCATAGATATGAGCAAATATTATTTTCTAACTCAGTTCTGCTCAGCCTTTTTTCTCAGATACAGAGTGGCGTTTTACATCAAGGAAAATGCAGACAAGTCCTTGAAAATGATGAGGTCAGAGTCATTTGTCTTCATGTTAACTTTAAACAGCTACCCAGTAAAGTTTTTCCAGGAAACACCACAGACCTTCGTGTTCGTTTGAGCAATTTGAGCTCCATATCATCTGATGACCTGAAGATTTTCTCCCATCTGAGCCATCTCAGTCTGACCAGAAACCAACTGCAAACAACACCTGCGGATCTGCTTGTGAGCCTGTCTAATCTTTATGTGCTTGACCTTACAGGTAATATGGGTCTTACAAAACTATGGTTACTCACTACACTTTTAGTAGAATAAGGGATGTTATAGTATCTAATGATCAGCAAGGCCTATTAATATATAAAAATCATCTTTTAGACCCAACTCATATTAGTCTGGCAAATACTTAAAATCGTTTATTAGTAACAGTCACTCTTGAAATAAATGTCAACAAGTGTCTAATATTATTTAGAAAAAGAACCAGTTATCTAACAAATAAGTGCTAGTAAATATTAAAAAGGTACCAGCCTACCTAAGGAATAAACACTAATTCATGCAAAAGATAACTACTAGCATAAGACACAAACACGTTTTACTGATTAAATGCTAGTCACACCATTTGAACATTTCTAAATGTTTAATGAAAGGGACAGTTCACCAAAAAGTGAATCGTCATTTAATCACCCATCATGTTCCTAACCTGTTTTGTCTTCTTCTAAAAACAAATGAAGATATTTTGAAGAAAGCTGGAAACCTGACCCAATTGACTTCCACAGTATTTTTATTTGCTACTATGGAAGACAATGTTACAGGTTTTCACCTTTGTTCAAAATATCTTCTTTACTTTTAAAGATTTGAAAGCATTTAAGGGTGAGTTAATTTTCCTTTTTTTGTGAACTGTCCCTTTATGTAACACCAATGCAAGGAAGAGGAAAAAGTGTAATTGACTGCAAAAAATATAAACTTAAATAAAATAAAGTACATTTTAAGTACAATCTTATTTTTGTACTTAATAAAATTGGCATCTATCTATCTATCTATCTATCTATCTATCTATCTATCTATCTATCTATCTATCCATCTATCTATCTATCTATCTATCTATCTATCTATCTATCTCATAACCTTGTTTATTTATAATATGCGTCACGCTTATCAACAATAATTTGTCGGTACGCCTGGGTTTGTCGGCAATCTCCAGAGTTTAGACTTCAAAAATAACCAGCTGGAGGAACTGACTCCTGGAGCTCTGGTGTCTCTGTCAAAACTCGAGGCCCTATACCTAGAAAACAATAGACACAAATCCCTGGACCCTTCAGTTTTCATCGGTAACCCAAACCTTCAGCAGGTGTTTTTGAGCGGGAACCGTCTGGAAAGTCTTCCTGCTGGACTCTTCCTTCAACAGAAAGAGCTTGTTTTCCTCAACCTTAGAAACGACACTCTGCTGAATTTGCCCTCAGGTAGCCTATGTTCTGTGGTCGTTTGTATGCGTAGTTGTCTGGTAATCCATGGCACTGTGACTCTGTGGCATTGGCTGCGTTTGCACTGAAAGAGAATTTTTCATGATGATAAAATTACTTGTCAAACACCTGAACACATGAAGGGCAGAAACATTTCTGAAATTGCTGCCACAGAGCTTGGGATCAAGGAGAACACTAGTCTATAAAGGAATAATGATTATTAGTGGTTTCACAAAGGGCAGCCCAGGTCTAGGCCTTGTTTAATTATTTTATTTACCCATTAAACGCAGCCTTGGAACAATAATTTGTACTTTTAAAAAAACCCTGGTTTGGGATTAGGCATGGGCCGGTAAAAGATTAAAAAATAATAATGTTAAATGACTAAAACTACTAGTACTTCAATTTATATAGTATAAAATAGTATAAATAGTAAAATGTAAACCTGACTGAGGAAATATTCTTGACTGGCTGTTTTTCAACACTTGTATTTCACAGGATGCACCAGCCCATGTTGTAGTCAGTCAGTTATGTACTCGTGTAAATAAGGACGACAAAAAATACAGACCTGTTCATTAGACCTTGAAGCCTAATATTTCTGCTGCTGTAATGTTGATGTTAACTAACCAAAATAAAGAAAGTTAAACTTGATTTTAAGTATAACATCATTTAAATAGCAATAACTTGTTGCTAGTTGTATTTTATTAGTGCTGTCAAATGCTTAATCACATAAAAATTAAGTTTGTATTTACATAATATATTTTTGTGGAGTGTATATGTTCATTTAGCGTACAGTATATACGTACACAAAGAAATGTATATATTTGAGAAAATGTTCATTTATATCTTTATATGAAATATTTATATCTACCTCAAATTATAATTAAATAAGAATAATGATGGCGAGGCAGTGGCGCAGTGGGTAGCACGTTCGCCTCACAGCAAGAAGGTCGCTGGGTCACTGGTTTGAACCTTGGCTCACTTGGCGTTTCTGTGTGGAGTTTGCATGTTCTCCCTGCCTTCGCGTGGGTTTCCTTAGGGTACTCCGGTTTCCCCCACAGTCCAAAGACATAAAAGACATGGCTAAATTGTCCGTAGTGTATGAGAGTGTGTGTGAATATGTGTGTGGATGTTTCCCAGAAATGGGTTGCGGCTGGAAGGGCATTCGCTGCATAAAAACTTGCTGGATAAGTTGGCAGTTCATTCTGCTGTGGCGACCCCGGATTAATAAAGGGACTAAGCCGACAAGAAAATGAATGAATATAAATAATGATGTACATGTTAATTTTAATTTTGGGTTTGATTAGTTATGATTAATTGCTTGACACAACCATTTATAATTTTTTTATATTTTAACTTTATTATTTACATTCTGTAATTGATAACATTAAAAGTTCTTTAATAACAGTATTTAAATTATGAATTAAATATTTAAACGATTAAATAAAGTCTGTGTTCAATATCACATTGCTTATTATTTAATTTAGCTGGGTTGCTGCAATTGAAATTAAGTATTGTTAAATTTCACTGGTATTGATTACTGAAATATATTGTGACTTCTCTGTTCACCACTCTATCTCTCTGTCCACATAGCTGTGCTGTGCATTCCAAGATGAAAAGTACCTTTATTTGGTGATGGAGTTCATGCCAGGTGGAGATCTGGTGACTCTGACAAGCAACTATGACATCCCAGAGGAATGGGCTCAATTCTATACGGCAGAAGTGGTGCTGGCACTCGACGCCATCCATTCTCTGGGCTTCATCCACAGAGACATCAAACCAGACAACATGCTGCTGGACCGCAATGGACACTTCAAACTCGCAGACTTTGGCACATGTACGAAGATGGACTCGGTGTGTGATAAGTGCACTTGAAGTGTCTTTTAAGGGGGTTTGATTCTAACAAAAATGTTTCTCTCCTTTTTTTTTAATAATCTAATTGAACAATATTTTGCTTAGTGTGCTTTTGTGCTGATACCTTGGCTAGTTTAGGCCTGACATGGATTGATAGATATGACCACTAGGTGACACCACTACTGTAGGTGACAGCAAGTCTCTTTCTCCTTGTCAAAAATACTAGGCTACTATCTAATTCGGTACTTCATTTTAGTTCTAAGTTGTGTCTTGACAATATTAAAATAGAATAGAGGAAGTGAGAATGAAATTCAGGCTACTGCATTGACGTTGTCACTGTCATGTTGACCTGTCGTCATCAGGCCTCATAGGATAGTAAATGAATTAATTCCACACTTCAGTAATTGATAATTCTGGTACTTTTTGCCTCCTGATTCATTCAATCATTTTCCTTTGGCTTAGTCCCTTTATTAGTCAGGGGTCGCCACAGCGGAATGAACTGCCAACTTATCCAGCATATGTGTTACACAGCGGATGCCCTTCCAACTGCAACCCACTACTGGGAAAAACTTATACACACTCCTTCAAACATACACTGTGGCCACTATGGCCAATTTGGTTTATTCAATTCACCTGTAATGCATGTGTTTGGACATGGGGAGAATAAACAAACTCCACAGAGAAATTCCAACTGGCCCAGCCGGGCTCGAACCAGCGACCTTGTTACTGTGAGGCGACAGTGCTAACCACTGAGCCACAGTGTTGCCCCTTGCGTCTTAATTTCTACTACTAATTCGGATGTACAAGGTCACATGCTGTTTTTCATAAACTGTATACAAGGGAAGTGTGGGATTTTGAATTTATTCTGTTTTGATAAGTGATTCAATGAACATTTATTCAAACAATTGATTCAAAATGGCTGACTCATTTAGAAACAAAGCAATTAGTGACTGTCTTTGTTGATGATTTATTTAAAACAGATTGAAGTTCAACACACACACGCACACACACAAACTCTTGCTCTAAGATGCACATTTTCTGCTTCAGCTTTGTTTGGTATTTTCTGTTGATCTGTTGAACAGAACTCGCTTTATTGTGTTTTAATGGATGTTCAGGAAAGCCTGATTGTGTTAACTTGCTTGTATCATTTCACAAAATCCTACACATTTTAAATTTTGTTTGCTTTTCTCAATTGAATGAAGCTCTCTGCAATGCCAGCTCACAATACAATTACATTTTTATTGAAAACGATAAATATCATACACCAGTAGTTGGTGTGTTTACATGTACTGTACATGACCGAGAATGAGAGAGTTTCTTTTAGATTTTGTAGTGTGGAGATTTACAATTATCACCTCACACATTGCAGCAGATTTGTTTAAACAATTATTAACGTACTTACAGAAGTCCTCCATTCGGTGATGATAGATGTCAGTGCTGCCATCTTGTGGCTAGATTGTACAGTGCAGTCCTTGAATTGAATGAATGAATTGTGTAAATAATTGAAATTTTAAACATACTTGTATTTCAGCTACATTAACTCATCCAGTAATGTTTATATCCATGTCTCTACATGTGTGTTTAGACTGGTATGGTAAGCTGTGACGCTGCTGTTGGGACACCTGATTACATTTCTCCAGAGGTTTTAATGTCTCAAGGAGGGACTGGTTATTACGGTCGCGAGTGTGACTGGTGGTCTGTTGGTGTTTTTATTTATGAGCTTCTAGTGGGTGAGTAGTGTCAGCTTCATATGCATCTCTTGTAATTTTAGTTCAGTGTTCTGATCATTAAATTTATTTATTCGTCTGTCACTCTGAGCAGGCGACACTCCATTTTATTCCGAGTCTCTGGTGGGCACATATGGAAAGATCATGGATCACAAGAACAGCTTAACTTTCCCAGATGATATTGAAATGTCAAAGGATGCCAAAGACCTCATCTGTGCCTTTCTGAGTAGCAGATGAGACTGAGAAAAGTAAAGATTTGATTTGAGTTTTTTTCTTTCTTGTCAAGTTCAGACTCTTAGTCTCTTAAAATACCCTTACTTGTTTGTTTTCAGAGGTTGGCTGGTAACATGTATTTTTGTCAATTTGAAATTAACTTTACTGTAAAAAAAGCAAATTTTCAGGACAATTTATTACACACATGATGAGATTTCTTTTGTAGTTTGGAGTTTATAACCTGGGTTTGACATTAGCTTTTTTGATCACCAGCCACAGTGGCTAGGAGTTTTCCAACATTACTAACCACTCGCCATTTTCACTAACCACAATTTTAATGTTGGAAAAATATATTTTATATTCATAAATTTGAATTTGACATGCTAACTTTATTGATTTATACTTTGTGTCCACATGCCTCCTTGTTCATTTAACATTTTTGTGTGTTGTTTATGACCTTGCTCAATGAGCATGAGTACATGGGATGTAGTTTTTATAGTGTCGCAATGTAATTAATTTAATTTTATTTTTATTAATAGTTTATTTCACATGAGTTTTTAGGGCTCGACACTAAGGATTTGCTAAGTTTTTCTCTGGCTGCACCGAACTAATTATTTTTTTGAAACACATTTTAAAAAATGTGTAAAGCAAACAAAATAAAGCTATATGCATACACTTTTTATTCACAGTTGATACTTAAAAACAATATTCTCATATACTGTAAATACATTTATCACAGCCAAAGTGGCTAGTGAGAGTGGCTGTCTAACCCGCGACAGCTGAAATCTACCCGCATTTGGCGAGTGTTAATGTCAAGCCCTGTTTATAACGTATTTAATGTAATCACAGGGTATCTTAGATCTGTTATCATTGTTATCATATGTAATTTTCCCTATTTTGTAAATGTTTGTGGTCAGTAGGATTTTTTTTTTTTTTGCTTAATAATTTTAGAAAATCGTTGCACTTTTTTCCAAAATGGCAATCTTAAGGAATATTTCTTAAACACCAAATCATATATTTTTAAATTTAATTTAAGGAGAACATACAAGTCTATATTAATTTTGTGCTTTTAAAAGCTCTTCATAAAATAAGTCTTTCATAAAACTTTCATGTCCTACTGCTTTTACTAGACACTTACTAGCGTAATAAACCCTTACTTGTTTGTTTTTAGAGGTTGGCTGGTAGTGAAATTAATTTATTATTTTTTTCAATTTGAAATTAGCTTTACTGTAAAAAAAGTTAATTTTCTGGACAATCATTTACACATTTTGATTTCTTTTGTAGTTTATAACATATATAATGTAAATACAGAGTACCTAAGATTTGTTAAAGTTTTCTTGCCATAAATTACAAGGCACAGAAATAAAGGAGATTAATTTAGCAGCTTCAGTGAGAAAAATGTGCAGTTTTTGCTCAGTTTATTCTCAGCTAATGTGATGGAAAAACATATTTTGCCTCTGTAGCCAGAATATGATGATCCATTTCCCCAAACACAAATGTTGGCTATAAAAAATAAATAATCTTTATTAAACCATTCAAGATATTCAATGATTTTTTTCTCATAATTTTGCAGCCCTGTATAATTGACACACAGTTTTGTACAACCCAGTGTTGTTGTTGTTTACACTATGTAGTGTTCTGATTGATTGAATTAGTAAATAATGTGTATATTTGACAAAATACAACAATTTCAATATAATCTTAGCCTGATTACTACAGATACCTAAAACATAAATAAATAGTTTTATCAGTGAAAAAAAAAACGTTTTATCAGTGTTATTATATGAAATGTTCCCTATTTTTTAAGGTTTATGGTCAATAAGACTTTTTTTTTAATGGTATATACATAATAGATTACAAATATTAAGTTAAACTTGGTACAACTTTAAAAATGTTATTATATTAAAAGATGTTAAAGTAACATTAAAATATTTGTTGTCTTGACTTTTTGTCATTACATTTTTTACAGTGCAGCTAAAACGTTTTTTTTCTATTCTTTAGCGGATAAATAGCTTTTTTGAATTGCCTGAAAAACCACCTTTTGCCAGTCTGAAGTGTGTGTGTGTGTGTGTGTGTGTGTGTGTGTTTGTGTGTTTGTGTGTGTTTGTGTGAGAGTGGCAGTTTTTGCTAATTAAACATTTCCAATGGACATATTTTCAATACATAATTTCAGTTTGTGCAACTGTAGGGTAATAGAAACGGAGCGTCTAGAGACCTGCACTAAAAGTCTTTAGTCTTGATGGTAAAGTAAACTAAGAGTTCATTAAGTTAGAATTAGATAGAAGTCTAATTGAATAGATTATTAATGGATTTTCATCGTTTGAAGATGTGATGGATTTGTAAGTGGTTTCTATGAAGCTTGTTTCTGCCTCGGAAAGATAGCAATTCTCTGAATTATTCGACTTTAACAATTCTAAACAAGAAATCTGAATCGCAATATAAATCTTAAAGGTCAGACTCCAGGATCTGTAGGTGTACTGTA